CTACATTCCAGCGATAGAGTCGCCACACTCTTGACACTGTCCTAACTCAGCCAGTATTACCATCGACTTCACGCTCCACTACTCGTTTCAGCCTGTGCCAAGCTTTCTTGTACTCGCGCGGGATCATGGATGATGTGTGTATGCCGTATGAGTGACCTGGAATGATCTATCATTTTCATTTTCGCCGTTAGCCTGAGCGTCTCAGTCTATTCACCGACATGATATCGCAACGACATAAGACCGCATGACAGCATGCTCGCGGTTAGGAACACCCAGAATGTGCTGCCAAAACCTCGCTTGCGCTTAATTCTCGACCAAGTCCATCAATTGGATACACTTGCGGACAAGGTTTAAGAGAGAGTCTAAGGGAAGTTTATCCGATGTGACAAACTCTACATTCTCCTGATACCTATCCAGTCGCCGCACCGCATTACCTTCAGTGCTATTCTCCAACCACTTCCACGCGTCCTCCAACGGAACGGGGAACGTGTACCATTATCGTGGAACACTCCCACGAATACTGCGCCGAGTCTGTCTATCATAGTCGGATCAAATCCTTGTGAAACCCTGTCAAGAATAGCAGGCGTGATGATCTGTTGGCTTGCAGCTCCTGCAATCCGTATAACTGGCTCACGTCCAACCTTGGCAACAGCTTGTCTTCATCTTACTGAAACCTGCCATTCTGACCCGAATGCATGTCCCTATGGTCTCTTCTTATACGAATAGGAAGGGGTGTGCTTGACCACATATAAGGGGGCGCATAACACATGCGGCATTAGTGGCTGGCCTCTAAACAACCTAACCGGCAATTCTAATTCTGACAAGACCTTTGTAATATGGTAGATTCCCGTATATATGCACGGGAACCATACCCTCATGAATAGACCTTGTGACAAACATCTCCTACTCTTCTAAATGGGGCTATCCAATAGATCCAACAGATTTGACACGGTCTCTCGCAACTTCGACCGAAGCCTGACGGACAAGCTCGGATCCATGATTGCTGGACTTTTCGATTGTCCGGGCAACACGTACCCCGTTCCATTCCAAGAAGCGTGGGGTGGCCCGAGTACAAAAGTAAGGCGAGAGCTTTGAGACGTTTGGATGAGTATGTGGAGAATGAGAATTGCACCAAATACGTTGTCTTTACCACAGATGCAGCACACGCTCATTTGTACTTACCTCACCACAGATTGCTACATACCTGCCCGTGCGCGGCCTTCGGATGCCACTGGTACACAGCCGGTGGGACAGCAAGCAACAGTAGGGATAACATGAAGCTAGGCTGCTCCTCGTACCCGCCCGTGTGTGCCCATGCTGCAACTCAATCAAAATTGCGTGGTCAGCAAGATCAGT